TCAATCACGTAAATTTATAATACTGCATGAAAATGTGGAATATTTACCAATTTGCAGGCAAGAGGTGGTAAGTGTGGTATACCAGGGTCTCAGCTGATTCACACCTGTGCAGTTTGGATCTGAATAACGGCATCCCATACAGCTGAATGACTCGGGAGGGACCCCCACATCCCACTCCTCGACTAACAGATAGGGTGCCCTCTACATCTTTAGTGTGCAGGAGTAGATAGTAAGTGCCTAGCTAGTGTTGGACTTTCTTACATGTAAACCCATCGAGCACTGCACAAACTGATGCATGGAATCACTGCACAAACTGATGCATGGAATCACTGCACAAACTGATGCATGGAATCACTGCACAAACTGATGCATGGAATCACTGCACAAACTGATGCATGGAATCGCTGCATTCAATTTCCAAACTAGGGTTTTAGTCAAATAGAAATGACCGTATATATTGGCATATACATTAATAAATATAGCAAAATGTCTAAAACCCACTCTAGTATTCTATTAACAAGGACCAAGTGGACCTTGCTAAGCGCAGAGGGATTCTGACAGGGCTCAGCAGCCATCTACTTATTTGGCCAAATGTGTTTCAGTGGAGGTCAATGGGTCACTAGTATCAGCAGAAATGAAGACATGCCTGCAGTCACTTTGATCTGTTTCCAGTGATCTGCTAGTACTTTTGTGTCACTGCACACAAACCTTTGCACTCTGTATAAGATGAAGATGTAAATGTATATTTTAAGAATGTATCTTCCTTATTTTTATGTTTTCAGGTAAAATTATCGACGGACTTCTTGTAATGAGGAAAATTGAGGTAAAACATTGCATTGATTTTTCTACTGCAGCCTCTTGTCACATAACACTGTGCCATAAATCCTTCATACACTGGGTTCAGAGAAGGGGTCACTTGGTCCCATTTTCATTCACTCAGATTTAGCACTGTTCAGAAAATACAGATACTGCCAGCCATAGGAAATGCAAAATGCTCATGACTGGATGGCATGTATTTTTGATATGCAAAAAGCGCAATAAGCATTAACCTACAACAGCCAATCAGCAATCATTTTTTCTTGTTTGAGTGTTCTAAACTAAGAAAAGGTGACATTTGATTAGTTGCTGGTGTTATCTATAGCACTCTGTGCACAGCCTCTATGAAATTGGCATGTATGTATGGCTGTATGCCTGAATAGTTTTGCAGCAACATAATGTACAAGTGTGCAGGACATGCTGCTGGTAATGCTGGGACTTGTATTTCCTAAGGGCAACTAGATTACTCATGAGGTTTAGTGACTGTTCCCTACTTGTCACACTCTACCATTTTTTTGGCCAATATGTAAAATTTTTGTGCTCTGCTTTTTGAATTCTAGATTTTCACATCCGCCTTTCTTAAAATACACCCGTTACCTTTAATGAAATGTACACCAGCCCTTCCCCTGGTGTATAACTGGCACCATTTACATTATTAAGGCTGCTTTCTACTGCCCAAATCTGTGCTTCAGCCCCCTGCAAAGATCAGCCAGCAGGTGGTGCTGTCAAGTCAGTTCCCCATCACTTTCACTAAGGAGTCCTTTTTATATAACAGCTTCACCATGGCCATACCACTGCTTTAAAGGAGAACTATGAGGTGAGTGAAAATCACTCATCCTCAGGGCCTGTTCACATGAGTTTCAGGTGCGGATCAGCAGATGCGGTGCTATGTGTTTTGGCCGCGTTTTTGATGCGTTCCAGTAAAAAAAAAAAAAAAAAGATTTTTTGTTGGAGTGGGGCTGTCAGTATGTTAGCTGCAGTGCAGTGCGTTTTTGACGCGTTTTGCATTTCCTGACAGTTTCCTGACCGTACAAAATCTGACATGCAGTATTATTCTGTCGTAACCTGAACGGACTGCGCACGTGAGAACTGTAGCCCATAAAACACATAGGGATACATTGGGATGCACTTTTAGTGCAGGCGCGTACGGATCAGGTCAGCACAGAAAACGGACGTCGTGTGAACAGGCCCTCATAGTTCGAGCCGACATGTGGCAATGAAACTTGTCACAGGTCGGCTCAAAAGATCGGGAAGTGAGCGAACACATACCATCGCTCGCTCACTTCTCAATCCTGTCCCTGCAGAGAGCCGTGACTGTAACTTCACGGCTCCCTGCATGGATTCCCATCCTGCAGCGCTGACTGGCGGAACAGACGGGACGGGTACAGCTGGCTCTGCCTCTAGATAGGCAGAGCCAGCTTTCAATCACGCAGCTGGGTGGATCTCGACAGTAATGTCTGAATCCGTCCCGACTGCGTCTGTCTCAGTATACCGCGAGCTGTAGCTCGTGGTATAATGAGCTTTGGGTCACGGGAGGACGCTAGTTTGAGTCCTCCCGTGACCCCCGGGGATGAAATATGGGGAAAAGCACTGACCCCATACTTCTCCTTTTAAGAGAAAAAAGAACCTGGATATTTAGGGCTCAATCACAGAGGTCCATACACTGTAAAAAAAACATCAATCTCTGTGCCTGTTATTCACAGGTTTTGCTTATAGCCCACCTGTGCAAATCAATGTCGGGCTCCTCGTGTACGCTGGTAAATGCTGCTCTGAGCATATATTTGCATACAGGTATGGCCCTGAACACAGAAAGTCTGCTATTCTTCTGAAAAGAGGATCTGGTAAGAAAAAAAAAAAAAAGATGGGAGGAGAGCCTGGTCACGTGATCTCTGTCATGTAACTGCCCTCTCTTTCAGTCATGAGGACATTTACCCATATCTTTGAAATGACACCAAACACACCTTTTAGAAATGTTTAGTGATGACAACCGACACACAGACACACAGATACTTCTAGATAATTGCCAGCTTTTTATTCTTTACATACCTTTTTCTTTTCCTCCCCATTCTTCTCACAGTGGCCATTTTTATAAAGGGCAGATTAATGCATCTCCTTTTCCTTCCTGGAACATGTGACTAGGACATGTGACCATGCACATCATCTCATGGGAGAAAAATGCCTTTCGCTGAGATCTCATGTGATTACAGATGAGATTTCCCAGCAATGCTCTGCGATGTAACCTCCCCAGGATGCAACGCTTGAGTACAGATTACATCATTAATGCCCAAGAGGACCAGGAAGTGTAAAAACAGTAACTGTAAGAAAAAGCAAAATATGTTTGTTTAATGAATATAAGATGATTTCATATCGGCATGCAGAGGTGATTTTTAGTGAAAGGGGGTAAAGGTTCGCTTTGAGCACACAAAAATCCGTGGGTACATCAGACTCCACTTGTACAACTTATATAAATGGTCCCCATTGTGAAGTAACCATGCAGAATGTAGCAGATAACAATACCTGCTCTCCTTTATAAGGGCTAGTTCACCCCAGCCACAGTGCATTCTGGCCCGATTTCTGGACGGAACGCACTGGGTCGCATTGCGGTCGGCTCACTTTGTTATGGGGCGTGGCGGTGCATTAAACTCAATGGCACCGCATCCACGCCCTCCGGCCGCAATACGATCGGCCGCACGGGAACGCAAGGCATGCCAATGCCTGTGGTCCGGTCAGAAAAATAGTGCTTGCAGCATTTTTTCTCACCGGAACGCAGGCATTTATGTACCTTGCATTCCCGTGTGGCCGGAGTGCGTGGCTGCAGTGCCATTCCCTTCAATGCACCGCCACGCCCCCTCCCGTCCCATAACAAAGTGAGTGAGCCAGAGCAATGCGATCTAGGGCCATAACGCACTGTAGCTGGTGTGAACGAGGCCTAAGTGTCCTCCTTAATCATTTTATTACTGTGCTGTGAGTAGGAATAGTTCGAGCAGCTATGCGGGACACATCCATATCAATTAATATCTCAATATGAAGCTTCAGATCAGACGCTGTAACCGCTATATCGTAAATCACTCTGAATTCAATGTTTTGTCAACTAAAGATTTTACACAAATTAAAAATATTATGAACAATTATTGTTTTAAACTTGCAATCATAAAAACATTAGCTGGTTTCCCTTTAAATAAACCCTTCCTAAGCAGGTGTAACGCTCACCTTGTTCATAAAAGGAAATTGTTTATGAGTAAGGATAATAAAGTTATTATTAGTTATCCCGTTCCGGCACTTTCTGCTGATCTTTAGCAGTTTCACTTGCTGGGCAGAGTAAAAGTCTAATGACTGTCATAAATATGGGAGGCAACATAAAGTCGTCTCTCCCGGGTATCTCCGGCCGAGCTGCGATGCGTATCCAAGGAGGGAATTTGTTTATCTTGCTTGAAAAGCAAATGAATATTTGTTTGATTTGGATATGTGCCGTTTTTACACTGAACAGCTTTACATAAGCTGACACCCCAGTCAAATGTCAGCATTTTTCATTTAACCGATCCAGCCTACTGCCCAAGTGATCTCATTTCCATTCTGGCATTCATGCTGCGCAGTTGGCTTCACTTCTGCAAAAATCTTTATAGTTTCCGGTATCCCCTGCTTCTAAAAGGGACGGATCTAAGCATGAGAAGTTGATGACCAGTGTGTTCACGGGTTCACGGTCTGAATTTGTTTCTGATTCCAATGCAGCCTCGTCTGTTCAGTAAGGAGGCTGTACTGCACGGACCTGTAACAAGAGGCTGCTGTCCTTCCTAGAAGAGATTTTTACAAGCGGTTATACACTGAGTGGCCAGATTATTATGACCACCTGACGTCTGTAGGCAAATTAGCTATAAATTTGGGCTGAAGTTGCTAGAGGGCCAGACCATTATAAATAGGGAAGCAGGTTGTTTACCACGACAGAAGTGATTATTTTTTTTTTTTGAAGATATGGGTAAACAACGCAATTTACCAGCCTTTGAACGTATGATGATTGTTGGCGCTCGGAGCCATGGAGCGAGGATCGGCAAAACAGCAGAATTTGTTAAATGTTCAAGAGCAGCTGTTGTTAAAGTGTTTAAAGACTGGACTGTCAGCCGAAAATCTGGGTCTGAACGTGCGAATTGTGGAGCGTGGATGCAGGCAGGCGGGTCTGGCAGCGGTGAGCGTGAGGTGGGTAGGAGCTGCGGCGCGTAGCGTGTGTGGAGCCGTGAACAGGGCCAACTAATCTGAAGCTGATTAATCGATGATTGAAAAAGTTGACAACTTTTTCAATCGATTATAATCGATTATGTCGATTAGTTGTTGCAGCCCTAGCCGTCAGCAACTAGTCAATGTTAGGGCAGAACGGAGAGTGGCAAGACTGGTACAAGACAACAGAAGGGCAACAGTGCAGTGTCAGATTCCTCGCATCACCTTTCAACATCTCGTGGAGTCATGAGGCAGCCCAACGAAGTACTGATGGGGTGGTCATAATAATCTGGCCACTCAGTGTAGAACGCTCAGGTTAAAGCTGAACTTCAGGATCAGCAAATGTTGTCTTGCTACAACAAGTGTATGTATTTTTCCTTGAATCTTGGTGTGCTTTGTGTATTTACTCCATATCAGTGCTGTAATCTGGTGTGAGTCTTTGCCTCTGTGCAGGAGCTTCCTGTAATACAGACCGGCCGCTGCTGACTGGTGACTGGTCTTGTCCCCGCCCCCTCCAGTAATAAAGACCGCTCACTGCTGTTCTCTCTCCTTGTGCAGGGTGACTGGTCTTGTCTCCGCCCACTCCTATAATAAAGACCGATCACTGCTGCTCTCTCTACTTGTGCATGGTGACTGGTCTGGTCTCCGCCCCCCTCCTGTAGTTTTTTTGCAGGCAGCCTGTAGTGGGTGGAGCCTACCACAGCTCCACCCACTACAGCAAACTCTTGATGTCACTACTACTTTTACAATGTGATAACCGGATAACCGGGTGTTCAAAGGCATCTGGTGCACTCAAAGTGGATATCCTTTTATAGCTGTTGAGAAATATATTTGTCTAGAAGCTTTTGTGCCTGGAGCATTAAAAGTAGTGTGTTGTCTCTGGAGACTAACAGTTTACTAGCGCACACACAAGGGTGGCTCCATAAGACCCTGCAAGGAAAAGGAGCCACCCTAAAACGGGATACCAGGCCCAGTGCTCATGGGACCATCTGATTCTGCTTTTAAGCATTAAGGAGCAGCATCCATTGTAAGTGATTTTCATCAGCATTTGAAATTGGCTTAAAAACCTTTTGGCTTTAATATCACTTTAAGCGGTGAAGGAGTTGGCGGCAAAGTTGTGCGCCCCATATTTTATGTATATTTTGAGTCACCTTTCGATACCTCCTGGTATCTATTAATGCAGAAGTACAGTGCGGCGTGCTGCACATAATCCATTTCCACCGGGCTTTGAAAATTATCAACATGTTTTTGTGAAAGTACAGGTCACCTGCTCTCTGGCACGCATCCATCACCCTCACTAATGATAGCTTAGCTGTAAAAGAGCGATAGATTTAGCTTAAGTGCTGAGCGCTTGGAGCTTCCTTCATCCTTGTATCGTGGTAACCGGCATATGAGAATATGCTTGTTGAGTATCTGTGACTGACAACGACAATGAAAGCCATGCAAATATTAGCAACCACCCCTTACACCCCATTCACACTGAGCGACATGGATATTTCACGCAGAGCGGCTAGGAGCGACATTGCGCGATATTGAGCAACAATGCACATTTTATCGCGCTACGTAGTGTGTTTTTTGGGCGGGACTTCGTCGCTGCTACTTTGGGTTGTAACCAATCAACAGCGATCTTGATGTGACATCATTCTTTCCTTCCATTTTGCAGTGCAAAAGTGACCCTTCTGTATGGCGATGAAGTTGAGCAATATCGCCGGTAATGCGTGATTCTGCGCGACACTATAGAGTCTATTGGATCCGAATTGCGCGACATCCGCGCAAAAAAAGGGTCATGTACGAGCGACAAGCTACAGCGACATTGAGCTGTGAGATGTGAACAGCTCCATTGAAATGCATTGGACGAGCTGCATAGAGCGATATCGCGAGAAGTCGCCGTCCAATGATTTTCAATGGAGCTGTTCTATTCTACAGCTCCATGTTGCGCGTCGCTTGTGCAGGACCCTTTTTTCTGTGGATGTAGCGCGATTTTTCTCTTTTTGAATGCAGCACGACGGTGAAGGTCGGGCAATCGTCGCCCGAACAGTCGCGATATCCCAGCAGCGCGGAAATCCGCTCGAGGTTAGCCCTCGTTCACACCTGAACGTTTTGTAGCGTGTTCTACGCTCGACGAACGCTGTACAAAACGCTCAAAAATATAAATCCCATTGTATTCAATGGTCTCGTTCCCACCTTGGCGTATTTCCGCCCGTCCCTAACGCGCTACAAAACGGCCCACGCCTGAAAAGGTACATGTACTACTTTGGGCCGTTTTGTTGCGCGTTTCCATTGGGATACAGCCAAGTAGCCTTCGGAAACGCGCGTTTGTCGCACAACTTTTTATCGCGAATCGCGGTAAAAAAAACGCGCGACAGACGCGCATATGCAATACGCCTAGGTGTGAACGAGACCTAAGTGTCGCTCAGTGTGACTGAGGCCTAAGGGATTCACCAATACCATTTTTGCAAGTACTGATACTCGCCTAAGTACTCAGACACAAGTACTGATACTTTATTGTCATGTGACAGTTTTTCTAAAACAATACAGACTTAATGATTTCAGTACAGCGGTGGAGTGCCGGAGCCCGGTCCCAGCTGCAACCCTGATAGTTCTCATGAAAATGCCAAGTATCGGCACTGGTATCTGAAAAGTATTGGTGCATCCCTAGTTATCAGCATCGGTGAATGCATTTAAGAGGAATTCCATGAATGTAAAAAAGTTAGCCCTTGCAGAGGGGCTACCCTCACACTGAAAGGATTTATTGCTTGTTTTTCTCTGGGGGCTCAAATAAAAAAATATAGACTTGCTCAATCCTTCATCCTGTCTGGCTGCTAGGCCGGTCATGTGCAGCCTCTTCTACCCTGGACTTCTAGGGTCTAAGCCCTGCTGACACCATCACATCTAATGCAGTCTATTCACCTGCATTAGACATGAGAATGCCTAGGGACCACAGTCAGAGTGGAGGGGGAGGGAGGTGAGTAATGACCACCACAGGACTGAGGATCAGGTAAGTATATCTCCTTTTTCTGATCCCTATAGAAAAATTAGCAGTTAACTCTTGCAGTGCTGGGGGTAGCACCACTGCAAGGGTTAACTTTTTGCATTCCTGGAATTCTTCTTTAAAAGCATCGTTTTTTTGTGTATAGTTTGTCATTATATCTGAATATAGAATGGTCATATTTGTTTAATATGTTTGCTAGCACGCCTGCATGCTTAGTGGTGTTGCACGATGGGTGTGCCTTGCTGACCCTCCTATCTCACTGCCCATCTAACAGGAGGCTCAGTTCACTAATTCATAACACATGTGATATTTGCTGTGATGCTTGCTTTATTCCTTTTCCTTTACATTGCTACAAATGAATGGCATTATGGCAAATAAGAATTGTTAAAGCTTAGTAAACTGAGCCTAAAGTCTGTCTGAGACCGAATAGTGACATTTTTATTGCAAAATGGGCAAACAGTGGGAAAAGTGAATAGGATTGTGGAGAGTTAGAAGGATTACCAACAGGAGTTAGGAGTTCCTGATTACCCTGAATATTGTAGATCTTTAGTTAGCACTAGTGGGATACCCAGCAGGAGGAAGGAGGTCCTGATTCCTCTATATAGATCTTTAGTTATCACTAGAGGGGACCCCAGCAGTAGGAAGGAGGTCCTGATTCCCTTATATAGATCTTTAGTTCTAGTTATCACTAGAGGGGACCCCATCAGCATGAAGGAGGTCCTGATTCCTCTATATAGATCTGTAGTTATAGTTATCACTAGAGGGATCCCCAGCAGGAGGAAGGAGGTCCTGATTACCCTATATGGATCTTCAGTTATCACTAGAGGGGTCACCAGCAGCAGGAAGGAGGTCCTGATTCCCCTATTTAGATCTTTAGTTATCACTAGAGGGATCTCCAGCAGGAGGAAGGAGGTCCTGATTTCCCTATATAGCTCTTTATTATCACTAGAGGGGTCACCAGCAGGAGGAAGGAGGTCCTGATTTCCCTATATAGATCTTTAGTTATCACTAGAGGAGGAAGCAGGAGGAAGGAGGTCCTGATTCCTCTATTTAGATCTTTAGTTATCACTAGAGGGGTCTCCAGCAGCAGGAAGGAGATCCTGATTCCCCTATATAGGCTGTTTAGTTAGCACTAGAGGGGTCACCAGCAGGGGGAAGGAGGACTTGATCCTCTTTATACAGACTTTTACTTATCAGTAAAGGGATCCCTAGGACTGAAAAAAAAAAGTTTTACCTAGAGATGCACTTTTAATGTAAAAGGATGTCCTTAGTAAATGCTTGGGGGGGGGGCATTTTAGGCAGCTCTCCGGAAAAGAAGCATGCAAGGTTAAGCTGAGCAGCGTGTGATACTCCTCCTAAGTCCAGTGAGCTGGTATATGGTGCAGGAAGTTGCAGGGCTGCAGTAATGAATAGTGATGTCACTCCCTTGTCTATTTGGCGTGGGAGGTTGGGTGAGGAATCGCAAAACTGGTTGGACAGAATTACTGACATTTTGGCAGGTAAAGCAGTTCACGTTTATGTATTTTAAGTGTGCTTAGCTGTCTGCTTGAAGTTCCCTATAAGGTAGAATCTTAAAGTCCATTATGACCACATCACATGACACTGGACATGTGATCATAGCTGTGTGTGTTTCGCTGTTGATGTCATTGCCTTAGTGAAGTTGTTACACTTTTAAATACACTGTCCCTGCATTCGTGATATCTGTCTCTCTGATGGATACATTCAGGCCCGGGGTAGACCTCCGCGATCCGGGATCACGAGGTCCTGCACAACATAGGCAGCGATTTCCACGCGGCCCCATTGATTTCAATGGGCGGCTGCTTTTAGCCACGATCATGTTTGGAATCGCGGCGGGAAACCACGCGATCCGCCCGGCGCGACTGAGGTGCCATTAGAAAATAATGGCATCCACAGTGCGATCAGTTCACACCTTGGTGACTCCTGTTTTTGCCGCGTGGTGAGGTGTCGCCTAGGTGTGTACCGGCCCTTAAAAGGCAGCAGTAAGGCTGTACTACAGATATACAACTGCCATAAAAAAGAGGGAAATGTATACAGCACAGTGTTTTGCCTCAGAAATGTGCCCTCTGCTGACTTTGTGAGTCTGAAGACAGAGGAGTGCAATAAAAATGTACAGGAGTGGTAAAAAAAAAAGGTAGGGCAAGCCTGGTGATGGAACCTGTCAAAGTCCAATAGCTCTTTAATCACAGAGTTCTCTCTTCTGCTCAGAGCAAATGCCGTGAAGTATGGCATTTACACCATGGCATGCATTTTATAAATGGGCTGTCAAATGCACTCCATAGTATTGATCAATACTAAATACTATAACAATGTGTTCTCTCTCTGTTCTAAAACGATCCCCTGATTTTAAAGGAAACATCTGCTGAGGGAATAAGTAGGCTGCCATTGACCTAGAATGCCTTAAGTCGCAGTGAAGTCAGAACTGCTGATTTGCATACTTGATCCTTGTCAGCCAGCATTTTAAGAAGGCGAGTTTAGCAATGACAGTCCAGCTCTGGTGAAATCACATATCCCATCATGCCTCTGGAGTCGTGCTTGCCATTCTTGCAATGCCTCATTGGATTTGTAGTTCCACAACAGCTGGAGTGCTGAGGTTGCTCACCCCTGCTGTATGTCATTCTTTGAGTTCACATTTCTACAAAAGGAAATATCAGTTTTGATGGATCAATCTCTTAAATCCTTGAAGGGTGGTGTGGTTTGTTGTTGCCTTCTTGCATAAGAAGAATGTTTGCAAGCTAAATTCCTGAATCTCCTTTGTGTGTTGGGCTTGTAACCTTTGCTACAAGAAGGTGTGCTGAGGATTTGGCGCTCCCTTTGCAGCTAAGGACACTTGGAGTGATAAGGAACTAAATCAATCTTTTATTGACTTGTGAAGAATGTGAGTGGTAGAACTGTACGAGTCAGCCGAGTGTATATAGCGCAGCACAGTTTACTTGTAACTGTCTCTTCTTCCTCCTAGAACGTACCGACGGGCCCCAACAATAAACCTAAACTGCCGGTGGTTATTGCTCAGTGTGGCGAAATGTAATTACAGGTGAGTTCTGCAATTAAAGTGTATGTAACAATGAAAGTGGAACATAAACAGTGTAATTTATGGCCGTCACTTATTCTGTTGGGAAATCCCTACAGTGCATCATTAATCAAAACAACATCCAACCAGCTGCCATAAATAAAACAATCCATTTTTATTTACACATATTAGGGTTCATTCGCATGGGCGCGCAGGGCCATACGCCGACCAGATCAGTGTATTTATGGGGCGGGTATGACCCTGTGTTCAGCTTGAGTTGTGGACAAGAAGCATGTGCAAATCAATGGCAGGCTGTCACTGTCCGCGGCTGTTTGCATGTAATCGCTCAAAGACAGAGGTGGGCAAACTCCGGCCCTCCAGCTGTGGTGGAACTACAAATCCCATGAGGCATTGCAAGATTCTCATAGGCATGACTCCCAGTGGCAGATGCACGATGGAATTTGTAGATTCACCACAGCTGGAGGGCCGGAGTTTGCCCATCTCTGCTCAAGGAGCAGTTACCAATGGCTAGGGACAGTCGATCTTGTTTGGACGCAGACTGTTGGCGTTCAGAGCGGCTCATCTGTCCCTAACCGCAGTTAATCGCTCCTTAAGGGCTTGTTCACACCGAAAGCGTGTGCGTTCCAGAACGGTAGCTGCTGGAACGCACCGCAATCGCTAAGAAACTTCTCCCCGCGTTTTGGGGAGTCTTGCCACGCGCTCAAACGCGGGGGGGGCGTGGAAGCGGTGCCATTGAATTCAATGCACCGCCACGCCCCAAAACGCGGGGAGAAGTCTCTTTGCGGGGCGTTCCAGCAGCTACCGCTCTGGAACGCACACCCTTTCGGAGTGAACAAGGCCTTAGTGATTAGATGCAAACAGCTGTAGACAGTGACGCCCTTTTATTAATCTGTGCAGGCTTCCTGTGCACAGAGGGATGTACCTTCCCCAGAAATACCCTGATCTAGGGGGTGTATACCCATGTAAGTGAAAATAGCATCCACAGTTAATATCGAGCTGTGTTCACCCCTCTTCCTTTAATAAGTGATTTGTAAATTTGCACTGTCTGGTCAGCCAGATTATTTGTTCCAGTCTACTGATTATGTAAGTTGCCACCTTATTAATTTAAATGTGTGCTTTCAGACTTCCATCCTGATCCATTATAAATGCTCTGACTCACGATTTGTATTCTTTTGTTATGTAATGGCACTTGGAGTAAACACGAGTCCCAGGTCTCACCCCATAATCTCAAAGTGGCCATTTGCACCAGGTCCACAGTCTGTCCCTCAGTAAGCTGAGCTAAGCCTGCCATGTAGTAGCCACGTCAGATTTCTTTTTTTATACATATTAAGGTTCACTCACGCAGGTGCGTAGGGCTGTACGCTGCCCAGATCAGCATATTTCTGGGGCAGGTACGACCCTGAAGTACGATGGTCTTGGTTTCCACAATCGCACGACAGGCCGAGAAGGAAAAAAGTATGCCATTATAAAGAGCGCAATTTGTGTGAGTTGCCACTGGGTTTTTCCAAAGCATCCCTTCTTTCTTTTCCCTTGTTTTCCTAGCAATCTTATTAATGGTGTACAATGCCTCCAATGCAGTGCAGTGTACTTTACTGCTCATCTTTAAGATTACGAAAATGCAGCCAGGTGACAGGGACAATGTAATACGAGGACAGGAGATGGGAACCAATGCATTTGGCCCCCTCCTAGCACAAACGCACATTGAAGGAGAACTATGAGGTGAATGAAAATCACTCAGCCTTCTAGTTCTAGCCGACCTGTGACAATGAAACTGTCACAGGTCGGCTCAATAGATCGGGAAGTGAGCGAACACATAGCGTCGCTCACTCACTTCTCGATCGGCTCCCTGCAGAGAGCCGTGACTGTCACGGCTCCCTGCAGGGATTCCCCCTGTCCAATCCTCCAGCGCTGACTGGTGGAACGGACGGGGGAGGGGGCGGACACAGCTGGCTCTGCCTCTGCCTCTAGATAGGCAGAGCCCACTGTCAATCCCGCAGCTGGGTGGATCTCCACAGTAATGTCGGGATCCGTCCCGGCTGCGGCGTCTCCGTATACGGTATACTGAGCTTAGGGAGACAGGACGTTAGTTTGTGTCCTCCGGTTACCCTTAGGAGAACTATGGGGAAAAGCCCTAACCCCATAGTTCTCCTTTAAGAGCCCATTCAATGCAGTTTACACTGTGCCTCAACAAGCAGATTTTCATGCGTTAGGCAGCCCTTCAAAATTAATGATGCCGCAATATGCAAATGTGTGAAAGCTGCTCTTCAGCAGCCTTGTAAGTGGGTTTTTAAATATATATGTATATATAGGGTTTTTTTTTTTTTTGTTTTTTTTTTATATCTGTCAATAGTTTAGCTTTAGACCTTCCTGTTGGTGTGATTGTAGCCTGTGTTTCTAAAGCCGCCATTTGCTGGAGGTCGCATTCACTGATGAAATTTGGTTAAATATCACCTGGAGATTCTGTTACAGCCACCATTTAGTAAAATGATGTGTGTTCTGTCACAAGCTTCATTGCAGTTATTATTCACCTTGTCATTTCATTTTCCAGATGTCCTTCCCAGGTTTTCCATATATCCCCTTCGCAGGAAGACGGAGAGAGCCGGTGTACATTCACATGTATGATGCCGTTGTACATAATGGAGTCTACAGAGACGGTCTGAACTGGACTACAGATTAAGAAACCATGAACAGTTTCAGATTAGCTTTTTATGTAAGGAAACCTATATTGAGAGAAATATTTTTGCCGCCATTGCTGTACTCTTGCTTAGAATGCTAGCTGCCTGGCTGCCTCTACCTTCTGCTATATTGGCAAGGAACATTTGAATCCACAGGATAAAACCGCCTGAAAAAAGGAAGCTCCTGAAACTTCATGTGTTTGCACTCAATACCTTCAGAGTCGCTTACCCTGGACGACCATGCAGCTTATGAAATCAAAACAACTGATTTGTAGGTCGTCTTCTGTGATTTTGGAAAACATTGAAGGCAGTGAGTGATCCAGGATAACAGCCATGCATCTAGCATTTTCAGAAGGAGAGACCAGCAGAGGTGGGCCTGTCATATTTTCTCAGTGTTGGTTTCATCTCCTGGCAAATGGAATTTTCTTGACAACATGTAACTTTTTTATTTTATTTTTTCCTAATAAAACAAAAACATTTACTGTGTGTTAATGAAGGATATGTATTGAAAAAGTACAACGAATGTGTATATCCCTAGCATTAATATAATATCAAAGTTACGTTCATCTGGCATGTCCAACTCCAGACACGGGAGTTAACATTTCTGTCTGTAAGATTCTCCCTTACTACCTCATACCAGAAATAGGTGGTCCAGTTGTCCCCGGAACAGGAAGGCACAGACTAAAGGTGCACTTGGTAAACATTTCTAGTACCCACACAGCAACACCTCCCCCACCCCACCAAGCAACCTTGCCACCACCCAAAACTGGGTTTGAAAGATTGCGACAAGCTGGACAGCTCAGTACACATGGCCATATTCTGTAGGCATGACTTGGTATTGTTCTGCATTGAGTGCTACACCAGGCCATAAAAGAACACTTATCTCAGCAGGAAGGCCATCAGAGTGATGGAAGAATGTGGCTCAGGCTAACGCAGGTGCTATATGCTCTCTCGTGTCTGCATGTTAAATCCCTTAAAGGTCAACTGTACCTTTTTAGTATAGTTGTCCTTTAATTTATTCTCTCACCCCAGGAGTGCAGCCTGCCTGATAAAATACTTGCATGAAATTGTGTGGCATGCGAGTTCTCGTGAAGGGAAAGTCAGACTTATCTTTCAGAGAACGTGCCTCAAGACTGCCATACAGTGAGGAAAATAATAATTTGATCCCGTGCAAATTTTGTACGTTTGCCCACTTACAAAGAAATTAAAGGTCTATAATTGTTATCATAGGTTTATTTTAAATGATAGAGACAGAATATCAAGCAAAAATCCAGAAAAAAACACATGATACAAATGTTATAAATTGAGTTGCCGTTCAGGGAGTAAAATAAGTATTTGATGCTAAAGGTACAGGCCAACTTTTCTGCATTGAGGGGCCATGTATGGTAAAATCTTGGATGAGAACCTCCTTCCTTCAGCCAGAACAATGAAAATGGGTCATGGATGGGTCTTTCAGCATGGCAATGACCCAAAACATCATTTCACAAAACATAGGGCAATATAAGGGTTTCTGGAGGGGTGTAAATGACCGTCCAAGAGAGATATGTTAAATGAAATCTCAAAATTTATTGCTGTTACATGTATAAATACATACATGATTCAAAATAATAAATAAATAAAACAGAACCCTGCAGAGGATATGTTTGTATATTCATTGATTAAATAGCTCTAAAATTCATTTGGTCTCTCCAAATCTTCCCTGATTGATTGCTGGGGTTTGGACTTATCATAGAGAACCTTGAACAATAAGTTCCTTGCGAAGAGATGGAGGTCCTTAATCACTTCGAAGACCTCCATATTTTCGGCAGGGCAGAAGCTTAGTCCTAATTTCAGGACTTCCTCTTCTGTCTGTGAGATCTGGTGGCTGGAGAGGTTAATTATTTCCAGGCATTCTTCAGGCCCCCTGGTAGTATGAAGGAGTCCAAGTTCCCCGTTCTATTTTGTTCCAATCTGTGGCGTGGTTCTAAAAAAATCTGTGGGTTTACAGGGGAGCTTGGGAGACTCAAACTTCCTGCCGGAT